CCCCCACACGCCCTCAAAACCCTCGTAGCCGCCCCTTCTTCAAAGCCCTCATAGCCGCCCCTTCTCCAAGACCCTTTCCCGTATCCGTCCCTTCTCCAAGATCCTCGTAGCCGCCTTTCCCCTTCTTCTTCCTCTCACGAACCCTAATAATTTCTAGCTGCCAGGCCCGAACCCATCAAAACCTTCAACGCAACTATGTCCACTCCGGCGGCCACCCCCCCATCCCTAATCTCCGAGAAGAAGAAGAAGAAGAAAGAAAAAAAAGGCGCCAACGTTGTCGATGCAGGGGACGCCTCCTACGCCGGCCTCAGTACCCTTTACAACGTCACCGATGTTGCCGGTGGAGACATGGATCTTTATTCGCAGGATTTCCTCATAAAGCCCCAATCTTTCACCCCTACTTTGGACACCTCCAAGTGGCCGATCCTCCTTAAGAACTATGACCGCCTCAACGTCCGTACGGGGCATTACACGCCTCTGCCCGCCGGCAACTCCCCTCTAAAGCGACCGCTTGAATTGTATCTTCGCTATGGCATCATCAACCTTGACAAGCCATCAAATCCCTCATCTCATGAGGTTGTTGCTTGGATAAAACGCATTCTCCGTTCGGAGAAGACAGGCCACAGTGGCACTCTCGATCCTAAGGTAACAGGAAATCTCGTTGTTTGCATTGATCGTGCTACTCGCCTCGTTAAATCTCAGCAGGGAGCGGGAAAGGAATACGTCTGTGTTGCTCGCCTTCATTCCGATGTACCCGACACTGTAAAGGTTGCTCGAGCACTGGAAACCCTCACCGGAGCCGTCTTTCAGCGGCCACCGCTTATTTCTGCCGTTAAGCGACAACTCCGGATTCGAACAATCTATGAAAGCAAGCTCCTTGAGTACGATGCCGAAAAGCACCTTGTTGTTTTCTGGATTTCATGTGAGGCTGGCACTTATGTTAGAACTCTCTGTGTTCATCTTGGCCTCATCCTTGGAGTTGGTGGGCACATGCAGGAGCTAAGAAGAGTACGGTCAGGGATTCTTGGGGAGAGAGATAACATGGTTACCATGCATGATGTGCTTGATGCCCAGTGGGTGTATGATAATTTCAAAGATGAGAGCTATTTGCGAAGAGTAGTGGTGCCACTAGAGGTTTTGCTAACGAGTTATAAGAGATTGGTTGTGAAGGATTCAGCTGTGAATGCTATTTGTTATGGAGCTAAGTTGATGATTCCAGGTCTGCTTAGATTTGAGAATGATATTGAAGTTGGTGAAGAAGTAGTGCTAATGACCACAAAAGGAGAGGCGATTGCTCTTGGAATCGCTGAGATGACAACTGCAGTAATGGCGACTTGCGATCATGGGACTGCGGCACGAATCAAGAGGGTGGTGATGGACAGAGATACCTATCCAAGGAAGTGGGGACTTGGGCCTCGGGCATCCATGAAGAAGAAGTTAATTGCCGAGGGCTTGCTTGATAAGCATGGCAAGCCTAATGAGAAGACCCCAGCAGAATGGCTGAGGAATGTGGTGTTACCAACTGGGGGTGATGCCATGATTGCTGGAGTTGCTGCTGCTCCAGCAGCAGTTACAGCTGCAGTTGTTGCTGCAAAGGAAGAAAAGGAGCAGCTTTTGGATGAAGGGAAAGA